GTAGGTTGTTATTTGATCATACTAATGTCTGGTATTTCTTAACATCCACCAACATGGATAGCTTGCAGAGCAGCGTCATTCCGCAGCTGCAATCGGAAGGGTAACTGAACAACATTTGGTGAAAGCAGGATAGCGCACATGGACATTCACCGCAAACGTTTCTTGCCTACATGAACGAGACGTTCGGTGGACGTTAGATCAGTCTCGGAGGACCGCTATAATGACACGCGCGGCAACCGAATCTGAATCTTATGGATTATTTCCCTGGGGATATTTGAGACGCAGAGCTACTCGAACGAAACCCAAAATCCTGGATGAAATGTAAGAGAACATTGTAAATGAATATAGACAGATTTAGTTGGAGACATTGCAGAAATTGTTAGCCAGCACCATCTAGCGGTTGCTCCGCTGTAGCGCAAACGGCGGAGGGTACTTCGAGCATCGGACTCGTTGATATGTACAGACGTTTCAAACATTTCATTTAAATAAAGTAAAGAAATGAATAAATGTATATTCTCTATCGTACACGAGAAAAAATATCGTACGCCTGGTCAATATGAACAACTAGTAATTATCTGACTGTGCGAGCAATAGTTGCATTCATGACCAAATTTGTGCGTTTTCTAATGGTGCCAATATGTGGTCAGAGCAGACTGATAGCTAAGAGTAATTTGACGTCAAGTCAAGCCAGGAATTCATTTTTATGCACCCGTGAAGGGTAAATTTTTAGCTGTAACCTACATGCAATCGAAACTGTAGAGCGAATAATACTGCAAACTTATAAGTTGCTCCCGGCAGTATGGTTCCCTCTAACGGAGAACGCAGTCTACCAAAAGATTATGGCTTTGTTTGAAGCCAGTTATGAGTTGCTAATGGCTTTCGTAGAGATGGCAATACGGCGCATATGGACCAGTCATCACATACTGCCAGGCTGTTTGTCACATTTGCTGACACAAACCAATTTGCAAGGCACCATCTTGTCTACGTTTTTACCTGCGTGCAGACCGACTATCAATCGATCGCAGCATGACATATTCAATGCGGCTATGGTGTCTGGTTCACACTCAAGTTTCACAGCCGAACGGCTGGGTGTGCCTTGCGAACGCAGACACATTTCGCGCCTGGTTGCCCCTAGTCAACCATGCCGGCAAAGCCATTTACTCCATTGGACAGTTGGCAACTCAGCGTGACGGTGTATATCAGCACCTGAGTGCAGCCGTTTCTAGGTTTGTTCATGATTAATATAGGTCCCATTTGAAAGTTTGGTAAGTAACAAGCGTCGTGTTATTGTCAGAGTTTGGCCACATGGAAAGGCAAATCCGGACAATGAAGCTACCACCCAAGTTGTGATCGCGGTATTCCGGCACAGTACGTAAGTCGGCTTCCATTTGGTCAGTACGTGATTCACTGTGCTCTCAGTCGTTCAAAGTAGGCATTTGGAACATTTTCATGTTTTTGTCGTGCGACGAAAGTAAAAGGAATCTGGTCATCGCACTTTGGGAACAAAACGTAGGTGCGTATGAGTAATCACATGCATTTTGATGGGTGTACTTTCTCCTGCCGACATTTGTTTCGCCGAGCAAACCAACACATCGCAACAAATCAGTTCTGATGTTGTGCTGCGAATACCTGTGCGATGTTCGATGTTTTAATGTAACGATTGATATTTTTCCCCTATAGTGCAACCATGGTTATGTGAATGCAATTTGCTGGTATACGTGGTTACTATGATAAGTGTATTTGTGACAGGTGAATTATTATAACACGCATTTGTCCAACCTCTTCTTCTCGCAATATGACCCGTGTGTAACTGGAGAGCTCGTGCATATGTGTGGCTTGTAATGCGCTAGTTCGTCGGGTACACTCCGCTTTGGTACTTCAAATACTAACTCCACCAACACCAACTCTGATGTTTAAAATCCGCCTGTACATTTTGCTGAAGAGTGCATGTACAACACTTAATAAAACTGTACATTTTTATGATTGATTGGCGGAACGCACTGATCGTCCTCCTTTTTTTGGTGGAGTAGCGGGCTTTCTCGTCAATGGAGCTGTTGTACGCCAAGAGAAACGAAGCTTAGCGGTGCACCGCCTTGTGATTTTTCATGAATGATTTCTCTGCTAGGGAAATGCTTTCGCATGTAGCTTAATCTGACGGTCTATTTCATACGGGAGCACATTAGTTCTAGTGGGTAAAATAAGATACATCCAAGCAGCGTAAGTAGCGTTAAGTGCCAACAATATCCCCAAAGCGAATTTTAACCATCCACTTTACGATAAAACACAAACATGTGGGGTGCATTGCTAAAAACACGAATAATGACAACCACACAACTGCATAGGGCACATGAAAGGCTATGAAGTCTTCTGTATTTGTATGAGCTGCAGCAAATATGGACGCAGGTTCTCACTTGGTAAAAAGGTACCTTTTATTAATATTACTCATACAATTAGTACTGTTGTAACTGATACACTTAGTAATGGAACCACGATTGGTCCGTGACACCCACCTGTTACCTAAAAGCGTAGACACTAATTAACGGGGAGTTGAGTACCCACCATACGCTGAAGCAATCTATCGGTTTGCCGGAGCTAACAAGCTCACATGCACTCATGGAATCACGTCTATTTTGAATGCTTGAGACCTGCAGTAAATTAGTTGCTGCGAGCGCTGCGATTAAGAATTGGCACTACTCTCCACAATGCATTGAGTAGAGACAAAAGACTAGTCAAATCTGACACCTAACCATCGGTTATGTTCACCACATTTCTCCATCCGGTGATCGGGATCGACTCAGGGAAGATTCAACTTGAAATGTTTATTGTGAAATAACTCATACTTGATCCGATTCGGTACGTCAATATGCATGTGCCGAACACAATTGTCCCAAAAATCGATGTTTGGCAATCAGATTTGATATGTGTCAAGCTATGTTCTTGGAGCTCCATGGTCTAGTGATCTTTGCAAAGCTGCCAAAGATTAAATGCCGAATTATACTCCCAAATTAAGCTACTTCTAGCTACTTAGTCGGGAACAAGACGAAACCTTCGGGCGTGAAATGCAGCGATGGGGATGGCCGTACCGAAACTCTCCTCATTTGGCATCTATATACTTCAGACTGTACCGAGCAAAATGCTATTGTCTACTCTATGAGTGTAGTCATATCGGAGAACGTTTCGTTCGTTCCTACAGGAAGTCGAAACAACTGAGACCTGTTCTAAGCTTAGTCTGTGACGGCTTACTTGATGGACTTATTCAAACAAGGCATTCTGGTGGCGTGGAAGTACCTAGACAGCAAACAGTAGATGACCACTTACAAATTCATTGGTTGCACATATGTCCTTGTTGGCTTTTGATCACATTGGCTTCCAAGGTAACACATGTGCTTCTAATTAGCCTATCGTAAATAACCTTGGTCCACTTATCATAAGCGTTTCTCACTTTTAGAACATATCTACCGAGTTTGGCCCATCAGCCCATTGAATCGGGCGTTTGGCCGAATTTCTATTAACGCATTTTTCTGATTTAACAATTCCAAGTCTAAAGCAACAGCAATCACATGTGGTTACATTCGATTTATAAAATCAATTAAGTAAATTTATATATTTACAGACAGACGGTATACGTGGGAGCGATCATTTTCTTAATTCGTCGGTTTGCAGGGTAAAAGTCGGGGGCACCTTTATAGTCAGTCATGAAGCAATCACAACTGAGACAAATATGCCGAGTGCAAAATGTAAGAAAACTCGATGACACTGAATGCAATTAAACCTGTTATTAATAGCAGTTAAAATGATCTTGACAAATCGAGTTAACACAGTTAGAAACCAGGATTTTGAGCAGCATCTGCCAAGGGGCGAATTGTGATCATAAGTCGCAGAGAGTATGTAAGCGATACCGAGCAGCTACACCTCGATGGATGTTTTAAGCCGGTTGGAGGTAGTGCTTCAAACGTTCTTGTCTCAATCGACATTCCGTAAATCGCTTATTGATCGTTGGCAATCATTGATCTGTAATCGGAAATGAAATGAATTGACGTCACAATGAACACAACCTGTTTGCACAGTATCAGCAAATGTACAGACTACCTACTGCGCAAATATCACTGGATTCTATGTCAGCAACGAGTTTCTTTCAGTCTGAAAGCAAGAATTCTTCAATGTGACCATAGTCTACAATGTCATTAGGCTAAATGAACCGTGGCTGTGATTATGCATATTAATAATAATGACCATGATGTTAACCGTGTCTGTTAAATTGCATACACCATTTTGCGAGTGTAAACATGACGTTCGTCTGGTGGCTCTAATGGCATTGTAACTATCAGAATCAAATCTCTCAAACATGTGACTATTGTACATACCTGTTTCTCGGAAACCAAAGAAGATACAATCAAAGCACTTACGGACGATGTTTTCGGAGTGTTGTACACACATTTGATTTTGGTGACCTTGGTCTGGCCATGGTCCTGCTGCAGAAAGAACAAGAGTGATGTTGACCGTAAGAATCTCTTAGTCACACTTACCCCAAACTCAGAACTGGGCTCGGATTCCCTTATTATGATTGTGTCGTTGTTGGCATTGGTATCGGTTAAAGTTAGTGGCTTCCGAATTACTTTTAAGAAGGTTTGTTGTACCGGACGATAAAATAAATTTACCGATCAAATCCACGCTGTCATATTTGTCTACTGCGCCTTGGGATGGAAAAACCGACAAGTTAGTTGACGATGTTTGTACATTGAAATTCAAATAAAACCTATTATGGTTGTGCAGAGAGATGTTGGAAGAAAACGGTAAAGCGAATGAAGCTTAAAAGCAGATATGGTCCAGAGTAATTGAATACCTTCAAACAGGAGCTCTTGGTTCGGTTCTATAGCCAGTTCCCCATATCTGTAAGGGATGCATTTTACTCTGTTTGTCACAATTTGTGCTTGATTGGTGTGTTCAAACTAGGAATAGAGAGTGGCGGCAAATGTGGTAATCGCAATTCGTCATCCTACCAGCTGAGGTAAATCCTTTTCTTTCTCATTCTCCGCTAGCATGCTTTGAACGATTAGCTCATGTTTGCGGATCGCCGGATAACCAATATCAAAAGGCAATAAGAATACTGCAAGCAAATGTTATATATAATTAGCTTACCATCAACTCGCGATTCTTGCTCTGGATCGAGGCAACCATAGCGAGGCTTGAAATAATATAATGCGGAAGCATTGGATTCCAGTTTGTAGTGTACCTTAGTGTTAGTCAAATTTTTCAGTTTCACAGTGGTTCTTGCTCCAGTTGTGTAGTTGTCTGTGCCTCGATAATCTATTCGGAAAAATATGCTCGATGATTTGGTCCGCAAAGCGGTTAATTAATGTAAATGTAACATATGAATAATGAAGCCCTATACAACAAAAGCCGACTTAACGTGGACCCCCTGGATGTTGTTTCCAGAAGTGATAGCGCCAGACGTGTAACGGTATGTATATTGTGGGTGTACCAGCAGAAGTGTGTGAGATGATTAAGCAAACAAATTAGAGATGATAGGTGAACAGGTGCGATGATTAATAAAAACATTATGGCATCCAAATGAAACTTGGCGTGTTTTACGAAAGTGTTCTTCACGCAGAATGTAACTCATACCGGATAGCGATGAATGATAAACAATTAAACAGAGGGTTGAATTGGACAATGAGTATGTCGTACACAGTTGTTTGGGACTCTCAAGTCGCAAATCGATAATGAACTTGATCCATCCGTGAAATTTATGTGATGTTTGTAGCCGACTTGAGCGAATAGCTATGTAGTTATCTCGCGATGAGGGAGACACGGTCCTAGCAGTTGCTCCGATCGAAGTGTACAAGTGGATCACAAAGATCCTTGCTTACTCTAACCAATTACTGCACACAATCTCCGTGTAGCAGGTCATTCCATGTCCGGCCTGAGAGTGCACAAGGTTGTGCTCCAAATTTTGTCGCATAAGATACGCAGCGTCATGGAATAGGTTTAGCGAATTCAATAGATGCAACAACACTAAGCATGTATTTCGTGCGCAAGTGTTCAGTTACCTAAAGTTAAAGGTGGTAGTACGTATAATGGGCGGACCTACGTCACTTAAAGTTATTTATGAGAATGATCCTATAGGACTTACTTGTCGAGCCTCACATCTACCGCATTCATAATTCTGCTCGGCTTAGGTCTCTCCTTATATACGTCCTGAACCTGCTTATCTTCCTTTTTTCATTTTCATTTTTTCTAGGTTCAATGCACTATTTGCCCCACTTGAGTTACCGAGTTGCCTAATTTTGTAACGTTTCGGCACTGACACTCCTAACCGTCCTGCGCTGGTTACTTGTCATCTGAGTTTCATTTTTCTGTCTTGTCTAGGTTTTGAAAAATTTACCTCGGAACTCCATATCATAACATTACAGCTAGCTGCTTAACTATTGCTCTGACGAAATCGCAAATCTGACCAAGACTTTGTCATTTTACTTCATCTCACCTTGACCGTCATCATCACTTAACTTTTATCAGATTTGAACACTCGCTATCTGATAACAATGATTGTTTGGCAGAATGAAAAGCCAGATCATGTTTCGGACACTATCATCATCTTGCTCCACAATCTTTCACATTCTTTGGAAGCTGGCCTGAAAGTTAACAGTGTATCAGACTGATCCCTGTCATTCGGGATAGCCGGACTTCCAGGACTTTCGACCGCCACCACACTCTTCATTGTCTATTTCCATGAAATTCTCTTTTACCTGGCTCCATTACCCATCTTACGCCTGTTAACCTCAGGCTAAGTGATAGGTAGTCAAACTACCTCCCATTTTTCACAAACATGCTCTTCCTAGCTTATGCTGTTATTCGTGCATTGGTCCTGGTTTAATAACAATTAACATTGTCCAGCATAAGCACAGGGTTGATGACTGGTGAGGCATATAAGCCAGAATGTACGCCGTAATTATTCGGAGTATAGCGGCCATACAGCTTTGCAGTACAGCTCATGGTTGTTTATACAACAGCAACTTCAAATAGTAAGATGAGCAGTGAGACCGCAACAATGTGAATACCCGCAATATGCAAATACATGAGGATGAATAACCAACCATTCTTATAGAGCCTGGCCATATTATCGCTAACCGTCTAGAATACTGAGGTTAGAGAGCAAGAAGATAAAAATGTGTGTTGCTCCACCGTAGGTGGTACGGGCGCATGCACGGGATCACATCGCTGATTCCTGCGCGATGACGTCATACTGCAGCTGCACTACATGTTATCCGGGTGACATACGCTCCCTATGCCTGTAGTTGGCAAAGTGGACGTCAAGGAATAGGTTAAATTCCGACACCGATTTCGTCTCCACTTTGGTCTCAGGCATGTTTTCCAATGTTTCACCGCTCGACGCTCGAAGCATAGAGGATGAGCAATGCACTTTAAATCTGGTTTCACTAGTTTGTACCGTTGTTTTCATGTTCTGCTTCGTGCGCGAAAGTGCAGCAACGGCCTCAACATAGTGAATAAGCCCAGGTGTACTCTGTGGTGCGTCATAATGAAACCAAATAGAAGACGACGTAATGGCAGGATATAAAGCCCTAGTCTCCTATATTCGTCCTGGTACGACATACCCCGAAAATGGGGATGGACTGGGTAGCTACATGTTGCATCCGTTCCATCTTTTGCACCTCCGCGGTTGCGATCAGAGCATCCGTCTTATCATTGAGGAGAACAGACAGGTGGAAATCTCTTCAGCCCAAATGCAAAAGCTGCATCTAAGTTTCCAAAGCAGGTGTAACACGTTTACGTACAGTCTGCTCATGTTATCGACAGTCTGAAAATCACAGAGTGGGAGTACGCTTAGATCAATTACGAATCTAGTGCGATGCAGCGGGTGGTCGCCCAGGTGGACGCAGGCCCATTACCACCACTCTCCAGGCTCAAAAAGGAGGATTTAACCAGGTTGACCAATAGGGTAATTTCTGCAGACCACCGGCATAGATAGTCGAGGTCTTGGGGAAAGACGTCACAGTCGCCTGGAGAACTAATAATACTCCAAATCTTCAGGTCATCCGCAAATACTAGACAGGGCGACGGAAGAAGCCTAGGTATTTCGATGATATGAATCAGGAATAAGAGTTGCCCCAGTACTTGGCCTTGGGGAACTCCGCTAGTGGACGTGTACCATTAGGTGGTCATCCACCAGAACCTGCCATTTTCTGCTAATAAGGAAGTTACTGATGCAATGGTGCAGTGCGCAACCAACACCCGCATATCCTCAGCTCGTGGAGTGGGACCTTTTACTTCTTGGTAGCGGAAGCTTTACTACAATCAATGTACATAACATCCTCTGTCTTCCCCGCATGAAGCCGTGCTGTGCCCCCGTTGGGAGGTCCTTCCACTCTAGCAACGGAACAGGACCCTTTTTCACAATCGCATTTTAATCGCATTAGCCAAATCGGCCGGTAATTAGCTACATTGCGTGGATCATCGCTTTTGGGAATCAGCTTCACTACAGAGCATTTGCAGTCGCTCGGCAGTGCACCGTCGGGAAGCAATCTGTTGAACAGACCCGTCTCGGAAGGTGAGATGATGGCCGATAATGACTTCAAATTAGCGGGTGTAGTCCATCTGGTCCAGCAGATTGCGTTCCGTCAACGTTGGCGACTAGATTGTGAGTGATTTTTACACCGAAATCCAAGCCCAAGAGTTCTGTAGTGGCTGCACACGTCAAGCTCGGCACAGGCGCGTGCCTACTAGTAAATGCCAAGGGAAATGCTCCGCCAATGCGGACACTCGTTCAGTGCTGGAGATCAGACGCTGTCCGTCAGTGCCGTCTAACCTAACTACATCGCATGTGTGTCCTAGGCGCCGTTTTACGTAAGTGAAATTCTTCTTCAGGGCGATCTTCGCTTGGGTTGCAAGCTTCTTTTCAACCTGCCGAGGCTTTCGCACTTTTGCGCTGTTTCCAAGATTCCGCTCCCGTCTATACGCCTTATAATCATCAGCAGAGTCCGACACGGAAAACTTATTCCATACTACACGTCGCAGACCAGTCAATTGACAGTACTCACGGTCGAACCAGTGTGAAATCACTGGTTCAGCTTTCCGATAGTTGTGGTGTATGAAACGAGCGCACAACGATTGTACGCCCACAGTTAACCGACCAAGTGGCTTCAACATATGAATCCTGCGGCCTCGACTAGTCTACTTCGCTGACGGCACGATTGAGACCATCGAAGTCTCAACTATCATTACCAAACATCGATTGTTGGGACAATTGTGTTTTAGCACAAGCATATTGACGCTACTGAATTAGGTCATGTAAGAGTTATTTCACAATAAACGTTGAAAAATTGAAGCTTCCGTGAGTTCATCCTGATTACCATATAGAGGAAGGTGATGAACATAACCGACTAATAGGTGTCACTTTTGGACAAGTCTTTTATGTCTACTCAGTGCAATGTGGAGAATAGTGCCAAGCCTTAGCCACAGCTCTCGCAGCAACTAATTTAGTGCAGGTTTCAATCATTCAACATAGACGTGATTCCATGAGTGCATGTGAAGTTTGTAGCTCCGGCAACCCGATCAATTGATTCCGCATGTGCTGGGCACTCAACTACTCGTTATTCCGTGTCTACGCTTTTGGATAATGGGTGGGTGCCACGGACCAATCATAGTTCCATTAACATGTGTATCAGTTACAACAATATCAATATTATGAGGAATATTAATAAAAGATAGGGTTTTTACCAAGTGAGAACCTGCGTCCATATTTGACACAGCTCATATAAATACAGAAGACTTCATAGACTTTCATGTGCACTGTGCAGTTGTGTGGTTGTCCTTATCTGTGTTTTTAGCAATGAACCCCCACATGTTTGTGTTCTATCGTAAAGTGGATGGTTACAATTCGCTTTGAGGATATTGTTGACACTCACCGTTCCTCTCGTATGAAGTAGACAGTCAGATTATATTACATGCGAAACAATTTACCTCGCAACGAATGCATTCATGAAAAATTCGCAAGACGGTGCACCGCTAAGCATTCTTTCTTTTGGCGTACAACAGCACCACTGACGAAACAGACCGCTATTCCACCATAAAATAAAGGACGACCAGTGCGTTCCGCCGAACACTCATAGAAATGTACAGTTTTATTTGGTGTACATATAATCTTCAGCAAACACTACAGGCGGATTTTAAACAGCAGATTTTGTGTTGGTCAAGTTGGTATTTTAAGTACCAAAGCGGAGTGTACCCGAAGAACTACTGCATTACAGGCCACAAATATACACGAGCTCTCCAGTTACACAAGGGTCATAGTGCGCGAAGAAGAGGTTAGGCAAACGCGTGTTATAGTAATTTAATTTCACAAAATACACTAAACATGGTAACCACATATACCAGCAAATTGCATTTACTTAGCCATGGTTGCACTATAGGTTAAAAATGTCTATCCTATTTTTATGTAT